CCTCTCTTCACCGGTTGTCGCATGGTATTGTTTAATTTGAAATCCAAAATAATTTAGTCCTTCGGGGCTGTGGTCAGAGATGTATTTATAGGTGATTGCTTTGAGATGTGCCTTTGAAAGGGTAAGAAACAACAGAAGCCTGCATTCTGGTTATTTATCACTTATCTGGATTGGATATGTTTGTATAAGTACAAAAGATGTTTTGTTATTTGGGAGAGAGGTTATTTTTCTGAGATTGTTTTTTATTATGCCGCTCAAAGATGCTGGTTTTTCTCTTCCTCTTTACACCCCAAAACCACAGTTAAAACAGAGACTATGGATTTGAATTTGATGGGCCTTATATTCTCAACTGCTAAGGAGCACCTTGTGTGGAGATGGGGATGGAAGGAAAGTGGAAAGTTTTTGTTGGTATGTTTAAATAGATGATCCTAAATTCAATGTTTGAGAATTATGATATCAGGCTTCCATCATTGTAATTTGAAGGAATCTACACAAAGGAAACGAATTTGCAAAACACAGTCCTTATGTGGTAGAGAAAATGTTTATGTTTTGAAATAATGAAGCTTTTTCTTTAAAAAAAAAAAAAAAAGCAACCATCTCTTGTTACATGATTGATGAGGCTAAAATTTAAAACAAATAACATAGTATGTTATATTATAATATGATTTATATTACATCATTAATCTTAAATTTTCATTCTTTCTATTATTACTTTAAAAAAATTAAAGAAACATTTATTAATATCATGATATGTCAATAAATATGGTAATGAATCATTTTTATGGTTCACTAGGGGAAGAATATATAAAAGAAAGAATTAATAAGATGGAAACATTTCGTGAAGCAGACCCAATTATAAACTTGGTGGGCTTGAGGTCCGAATTTGCGCCCTAGGCACAACGCCATCGAGTGCAGTCTAAACAAATGCAGAACAGAAGCTAACTAAACTGGCTGACCATGGAACCTCCAACCCATGTTCGCTTCCAAGCTGGCGCCGCGGCCGCTGCTGAGAAGAGGCCATGCTGCAAAAAAACCTTGCTTTTTCCTCGGCCTTATATTCTTCCTCGTCTCCTTCTTCTTCTTCTTCAACTAAAGTATTCATAGACCATGTTTCTCAAGCTTTTAGCCAACAAGAATCGGAACTGTTAAACCTTGCTCTTCCCTCCAAGTTACAGCCAAACCACATTTAACCCATCCTGCTTGCCCTCCAACACAACCCCGATTCCGCCATTGAGTTCTTCCGCTGGACCCAGAGTTCTCCTGGACTAACCCACAATGCACGCTCTTACTCTGCCCTTATTCACTTTTTGCTACGACACCGGATGATTGTTTGTGGCAGCGACCCAGGTGTTTGATGAAATGTTTGCTCGGTTTGGTAACACTTTGGATGTTTTGGTGCCTTTTCTGATGGGTTTCGCGATTTTGGTTTGAGTTATGGCGTTGTTTATGGGTTTTTGATGGAAGGGTGCTGTAGAAATGGGTTGGTTGATGGGTTCTTTGATATTTTTGTATATATGTTCGAATTGGTTACTTTTTTATCTGCTAATGCAATATGTAGGATGTTGAATTCTTTTATTGATGCTAATAGAATTGATATTGTTCTTGGTAACTATAACAAGTTCCACAAAGTATTGAAAGGGCAGAGATTTTGTGTCTATGGGTTTGTAGTGGATTGTCTTTTAAAGAGGGGTAAGCTTGAAAAGGCATTTAATTTTCCCCAAGTGGTGATTGAGAGAGGTTTAGGTGTTGACACAGTTGCTTGCAATAAGATTTTGAAGGATCTTTATGTAAATAATCAGACTGAAATTGCTTCTAAATTCTTTGATTTGGTACTCACCCTTGGTCAAATGCCAACTGTGGTGACTTTTAGCACACTAATTAAGATGGATTGTAAGGGAAGACAATTTGATAAAGCATTTGAGGTTCATACTGTCATGATGCAGAGGGGTATACCACCTGATTTAGTTATTTATTCCATTCTCATTGATGGTTATTTCAAAGCAGGGAGATTGAAGGAGGGGCATAAGCTTCTTTCTCTGGCATTAGATGGAGGTTTCAAGTTGAATGTAGTTACTTTCAGCTCCATCATGGATGCATATGTGAGAACTGGGGATTTGGGAAGGGTGGTTGAGGTTTATAAAAGAAGGTTTATCACCTAATATTGTTAGTTATAGCATTCTGATCAATGGATTGTGTCAGAATGATAGGATTTCTGAAGCTTGTGGCTTTTTTGGTCAACTTGTAAAACGTGGTTTTGAGCCATCTCTGTTAACTTATAGTAATCTCATTGATGGCTATTGCAAGTTGGGTAAGTTGAGGGATGGGTTTTCCTTGTATGTCAGTATGATTAAGAAAGGTCATGAACCTGATATTGTTGTCCATGGCTTATTAATAAAAGGTCTTTGCAAACAAGGGCTGATGGCCAGTGCACTTGGGTCCTTCTTCCATGGTGTAAAGAGGGGTATAAGACCTAATATCTTCACTTTTAACTCCTTGATGGATGGTTGGTGCAGATTGGAGCACTTAAAGGATGCTCTGAAGGTGTATACCTTGATGGAGATGTTCAATGTTAAACCTGATGTGGTCACCCAAACTGTCTTCATTAGGGAAATAGCCAGACAAGGGAACTTAAATGTTGCATTGTTAATTTTTTTCCAAATGCTGAAAAGAGGTTTCTCAGCAGATGCAATAACATACTGCACACTCATGGATGGATTATGCAAGCATAAAAATCCAACTGCTGGATTGCCAATCTTTAGGTTGATGAAAATCAATGGAGTAGTTCCTGATATTGCAGGATATGATGTTCTCCTTAATATTCTCTTTAAGGATTGCCATCTGCAAGATGCATCAGAACTCTTTGGGCAACTTGTTAAGGCCGGGCCAAGACTTGATATTGTAACTTATAACACCATGATATGTGGCTATTGTTCATTGAAAAGGTTGGATGAGGCAAATAACCTGTTGGAAAAGTTGACACATGGAGGCTTTGGATCCAATGCAATTACTTTTACCATATTGATCGATGCCTTTTGCAAGGAAGGTAGAATGGATGATGCTGTGTTGATGTTCTCCAAAATGTTGGAACCTGGACCCAATGTGGTCACATACAGTTGTTTGATCGATGGCTATTTCAAATCAGAGAACTTAAAGAGTGCATTTGAGCTTCGTGAAGAGATGCTTGAAAACAAAATCTCACCTAACATTGTCAGTTATGGTATCCTCATTGATGGCCTTTGCAAACATGGACTAGTAGAGGAAGCATCACTTGCATTTCATTCTGCTCTAGACAGACATTTATTACCTGATGTAATGCTGATTCGAGTGGTTACTGCAAAGTTGGCAGATTAGCTGAAGCCATGCAGTTATGTGACCAGATGCTGATGAATGGAATCATGCTTGATGACTTGTTAAAAGAAACACTTTGGGCATATAATCTTCAAAATATGCGGGACAGATGTCATGCTTAACTACTTTGTAGGGATCATTGCTTTCATAGTCCAGCAGTACGTACAGTTTTCTCCTCTTCCTGCAAGTTGGTCTCTACAATGTCCATTACATTTATTCACTTTAGTTATCTCTGTCCTTGTTAGCATGTAATGTATCTAAATCTTCACCTTCATTGTATTGAGTACAATCTTTGTAAAGAATTGAATTTTGAATGAAATCAATGACAAACAATTTTGATAGTGATGTTTCTAAATTAACATTATAAATGTTGCTTAGAAATATTTCAGTTTATGTGACATGAAGGACAAGATTTTCTGAGTCTGTTTCTTGTTGGAAGTGAATGTCAGGCCTCTTGGATTGTTTTTCCTTGCAGTTTTATTTTGTATTTGGCTGTATTTACTGTTATTATTTTTGGAGCTTAGGTCAATTCCCTTCTCATTTCTCTTGCTTGACTAAACACAAAGTTTAGACTCTGCATGTATCTGCCTGAATTGAGGGCACTTAAGATGAATAAGCAGGCATCCTAGGATTTCTGGCCAGGGCTCATTGAAACTTTCTTTACTAAATAATTTAGGCTGGAATATCAGAGGGGTGGTGTAGGTAACCCGGCTGTGTCGAGCATGGCAGCGTCCGGCAACTTGGGATGCTGATGCTGCCGGCTTCCACAGAAGATTCATACTACATAGTTTACGGTAGAAACCTACTATCATTATGTCATTTTTTGTGGAATTGTTTGGGTTTGGTAGGGTATTGCTTTCATGTTGCATCATAGAATTGAAAAGGACATGAAAATTGGTTAAACTTCAGTCAAGGATTGCAAAACTGAGTTAATTAATTCTTATACAATCGTGCTTCAAGTGTGATTAGGTATATGCTGTTTAGTAACTAATATAATATGCTTCTTTCCCGTCTGGAGCAAGTAATCTGTAGGGTTTTTGTTTTTATAGATCAAAGTGGCACAAAACAAGTCCTTGTCCTTGGAAGAAAATTTGTGTACACAAGCAACACCATAATTCTTTAATTATTTTATAATCCATTTATTATTTAGTTTTCCGTTATTTTCGTTAATTTCATGCTATTAAAATGTTGAACTTCTGCCTATCAAATATAAAATGCTAAAGTTTGAAATTTAGACTTTTTTTTTTGTTAAATATATAGAAGTTTGGGGTCTAAATACTTTAATTATAGAATACGGGGTTTTCAGTTTTGAAATTTAACAAAATTGTGAATTTAAAATTATTGAAAAAGTAGAAAAAAAAAATTAAAAGTTAAGACAGCCTAGTAGTTTAAAATGTTTGTACTATGAAATTGTTTAAATATTTTTAATATATATATTTTTTTATGTTGATTTATTAAGACTATATAAATATTTTGATCATTATTTATGCCATTTTAATTGTTTAAATGTCTTTATTTTTCATAATTCTAAAGTGAAATGTTCTTAGTTTTATTTAAAGATTGTGAAAATTTAGTTTTTTTTTTTTTATAATTAAAATGTCAACAATAATAATAAAAAAATAAAAAATACCTTTAATAAATTAATGTGCAAAAAAGATTCGTTGATTTCAGATATAGTCCTATCATTTTAAATATCAATACATGCTGACTTTTATTTTTCTCTCTATTCTAAATTCAACTAACAATACCTAAGCTTCGAATCATACAATATTTTCCATGTAATTATAAAACATTAATTAACATCAATGCTGTCACCCTTTTCATCGGAAGTCTGAAAGCAGGAATACAGAAGCATTCCCAGACCTTGAAAACGCCCTCTCAACCGCTCCGGGTCCTGATCTTTCTCAATATTTCATGAAAACTCTCTTTTATAATTTAATACAATTTAAATTATATTAAATTATAAAATAAAAATTATTAAATAAATAAAATCTCTAGTATATGAGGAAGTTCAATTCTTA